AATTTTCTGCATGATATAACATTATTAATAATCACTCTCTAAAAATTTAATCTCACCATTTTTGCAAAATTGTACTTTTTTTTAATTTCTAGTAATCATTGATTTTTTTTATAAAAATGTATTTTTAACATATTTTTGCACAAATCACAAGATAAAATACTAATTGTAAAATATTAATCATAACATTATTGTTGCAGCAATGCCTTGGTTTGGAATGGATATAGGTGGTACATTATGCAAATTAGTGTACTTTGAGCCAAAGGATATAACGAGAGATGAAGCAGATGCAGAAGTTGAAATATTGAAAAATATTCGTCGATATCTCACTAAAAATTCGGCATATGGAAAAACTGGCCATCGTGATACGCATTTACAAGTAAACATTATTAAATATTTAACTTGTATTTTCTATTTTTTAATTATATAAACCTGTTGATAAGTAATTTAACGATGTCATCTGTTTCAGATGGATAACATTTGTATTAGAGGCAGACGAGGAACCTTACATTTTATTAGATTTCCCACAAGTGAAATGGGAAATTTTTTAGCATTAGCAAAATCAAAAGGTATGGCAAATCTTGTGACTACTGTTTGTGCCACTGGGGGTGGTGCTTTTAAATTCGAAGATAATTTTAAAAAGGTTTGGAAAATTATCTATCTTTGCCTTTGCCTTCTTATAATTAGGTTTGTTCGATTTGCTTACACTTTTTATACTTAGAATCTTCGTTTTCTCTCTTCAGCGCCAAATATATATCTATCTCATTTTAATGTAAAAAGTGTAAAAAAGTGTAAGCAAGTTGAACAGACCAAATTGCAACATGATAATTATTAAAATAATGAAATATCTTTGGCAGGAAGTAAATATGAATTTGGCAAAATTTGATGAATTAGATAGTTTAATACGCGGGATGCTCTACATAGAGACTACGAATCCACATGAATGCTATTATTGGTCAAATCCTACCGATGACAGTAAATGCCAAAAAGTACCCTATGATTTTTCTGAACCATATCCTTTCTTGGTAAGAGTATAAAAATATTTTTTATTGTGCGTTTTTAATTGGTGAAATTACCGATTGATTATTTTCTGCAGCTTGTTAATATAGGCTCCGGAGTAAGCATATTAGCTGTATATGGACAAGAAAATTTTAAAAGGATATCTGGAACAAGGTAAATTGCGTGTACGTTATATTTTGTAGTTTTAAGATATTTATTATTAAGTAATATCAGTACATTTTTTTTTAATTATAGCTTAGGTGGTGGTACATTTTTGGGATTGTGCTGTCTTCTTACTGGATGTAACACTTTTGAAGAAGCAATAGAACTAGCAACAGGCGGCGATAATACAAAAGTGGATAAATTGGTTAAGGATATATACGGCGGTGATTATGGTCCTTTCGGTCTTCCTGGAGATTTAGTTGCGAGCAGGTATGTACAATTGTAAAGCAGTTATTAATTCCTATTCTAAGATGTAATTTCTTTATTTTGATTCTTATTTTGTATCACCTTTTTTATTATTTTTAGTTTTGGACAAATGAATTCCAAAGATCGTAGAAATACTGTCACAAAAGAAGATCTGGCGCGTGCAACTCTTGTTACTATTACAAATAATATTGGTTCTATCGCGCGTATGTGTGCTGTTAATGAAAAAATTGAAAGGGTAATAAAAATATATAATTTGTTATATATAATATTATAAAGTGGTTATATATAACAATTTTTGTTTTTAGGTTGTATTTGTAGGAAATTTTCTCAGAGTAAATCCCATATCAATGAAATTGTTGGCCTATGCTATGGATTATTGGTCTAAAGGAACTTTGAAAGCCTTGTTTTTGGAACATGAAGTAAAAATCTAAAGTGAAAGTTCATATTTAAAAATGCTATTCAGATATCATAGAATATTATATCTTGATTTCAGGGTTATTTCGGAGCGGTGGGATGTCTATTACAATTTAATGGCGAATCGAGCTAAACAATGAGGAAATAGTCATATAATATATAGCATTCCATATGACCAACTTCGCAGAACATTTCTCGAGTGAGCAAGATTATTCGACATAATTATATTTATTTTTGTTACATTTTTTTTCAATTATTCATGAATCTACAATTTATTAAGTAATCATTTATATTAATATGGAAAACCTTGATATTTATGCAGTAAGATTAAGATATATTTGTCAAGTGTCATTGTATAATTTATTACTTATTATTTTAATATAGGAAAAAATAATTGTCAAAATATTTTTAATTTTGGTCGGAGAGTAGTTATTTTGCTATAATTGTTTGATTATGAGCACAAATCTAACACAACTCGGCAAATAGAATCTATAATGGACCAAATCCAAAAGGATTAAAGATAACTTTTCCTTCCGATGTTTGTTACATGCCGCATAGACTAGTTCTACCTCATAATTTATATTGTAAAGTTTTTCTACAAATGTGCACACAGATTTTTATGTATATAGATAATATGGCATCATTATTACACTTACACATCTTTTCTCTTCGTTATAATCGAATAAAACCATTGTGTAGCGATAAATACTTTCGCACTGATTGTTAATATTAATAATTTTGTTGTTATTGCGTGTTATAAGATGAACCTTTTAAAATGAATTTTTAATTGAATATTAATAATACAACTTTTTTATGAAATATTATTCATGCGCTTCTGATAGTTGCATAAATTAAGAATTTTTTATACCGCTCCAGTGAAATCACGATTTGTAATAAAAAAAGTATACGCTTCCGTCAAGATATTGATATGACGCAATACATATTGGAAGTTGTTGAAACCCGCAGCTAACGCTAAATATTCACAGAAAGTTCGATTCGTATTACCTGTGTACCAAATGTTTCGGAACAGTAAAAAAATTGTCATAGAATGTGCAAATGTCGATGAAATTTTCAGAATATCGTGTGAATACTTTTTATATATTTCATAAAATTGCGAGTGAGCGAGTAGTGCACATTTTCGCCGATAGAGGACCGCGGCGAAGAGCATTTACTCGTAAAAAAAATCACAAGAAGCAGCGGCAACACTTCGTCTGTGAAAAGAGCCCTAAAATTAGGCTCTGAGATAAAAACACATGTGTTTTCTAAAGTAAAATTTTGTTTAAAAACTGATTCACGGCCTGACCTGATCTCGAATTTTTGAAAAAATTAAAATTTTGTGGAATATACATATATGGAACATTCTCGGAATATGTAATGACATGCAAATTTTTAACCGACATTTGAATGTTTCTTTTACCATAAATATTCAGAATATTTTGAAAAATATTTTGGATTCTTAGAATGTTTTTTGGGGATTTTAGGAACATTTTATGAATATTTAGCGTTTGTGCCGGGAAATGTATCAAATTTAAATTGTTTTTTGAGAAATATGTGGTGTAATGTGAATGAATGAAAAATATAATTGAAATATTGATACAATAAGTGATAATCATATTGATATTATTATTAAAAAATGCATAAACACATTTTAGAAAACAATGACCGTGATTTATTTTCTATTTGAAATGTGACAATTAATAAATCTTTGGAGATATGTTATTTATGATTTATCATAATCAAGTAATTTAATATTATCACAAGCGTATCCTTATACAAGTGAATAGCTTATTTTTGTTGCAATGTATTGTGAAAGCATGCCAAACAAATCTGAATAAAATATCATTTTAATATACAATGAAAAATGCGTATATCCATACTATTTCATATTACTTACGATAAAAATAAAATTTTGTGATAAATAGCTGACAATAAATGCAAAAAATATATATTCTGAATTTATTAGTTTCAATAATATATATATCTCATATCGTATTATAATGTATATTTTGCAAATATTTCATATTTGAAAAGCATGAAATCCAAAGTCGCATGAAAACTGCATATAAATATATATATAAATACTTAGGAAAGAACAAGAATACATGATGAAAGTTATTTCCACCATGTATTCTTGTTCTATTGGAAGAATACAAGACACGGTTACTTAGCAACATTCTTACAAAACAGTGTCACTCTAAATATCAAGCAGACTGATTTCTACAGACATAAGTCAGCTGATGTGAGATTATAGATTTTGTAGTGATATCATTACCATTATTCATTACTTTTTTTTTATAAATTTTTTTATATCTTTGAAGATCAGTATATTATATAAATCTTTTTACATCTTTTTTGATACCAATAAAAATGGTAAGTTAATTAATCTTAATTATTAACCTATTGTAAGTTTTTTTTTACAATAGATTATCATTATTTGTATCAATAATTAATATTATCAATGTTTTATCAATATTTTATTAATACATACTTTTTTACAAGCATTTTTAATTCCATGTATGATTTTTCTCTATCCATTCTGTTCTTTCAATTTATATCATTCTTATCTCTAAATTATTATATTTCTAAACTGTGTGTATTAATTGTTTAAAATTGACAAAAAGGGTCCTAAAAAAGCGAAAGGGAAAGTGACAGATGTCGAGGGGATAGATACAACAAAAATGAATAGAGAACAATTAGAGATATATGTACATAAGATATTGGAAGAGATAGAACGGGAACGAGAGGAAAGAAACTTTTTTCAACTAGAAAGAGATAAACTACGAACTTTTTGGGAAATTACGAGACATCAGTTGGATGAAGCACGTGCTGTAGTCAGGTACTTTACTGATAATAAATGACCATTTGAATCATCGATGAATGTAAATGCTGTTTAAAATTCTTCTTAAAGAAATAAAGAACGTGAGAAAGAGGAATTAGTAGAGAATCATGAAGCTGAACTCAAATTATATAAGCAGAAAGTGAAGCATTTGATGTATGAGCATCAGACTAATTTATCTGAAACCAAAGCAGAGCATCTAGTTGCTCTTAAACTGGTACAAGACGATCATATTGTGCAAGAAAATGAGCTTATTAAAGATAAAACCAACCTTAAAAAAGTACAGAAAGAGCAGGAATTGGCGTACATGAACGAAATTCGCGCATTAAAATTGGTAAGAC